TGATACAGTTGTGCACTTTGATTGATAAACAACATGAATCTGTTTTACACCATCAGGCAAGGCAGTAGATACAAATTGCATGTTAGATACAACACATTGGATTAATTGAATAAAACAAGGAATAATACTTGGCAAAAACATCAAAGCGACAAATGCACATAACAGATAAAACAGAAGCTGTTTTACCCATGATGCTCCAGGTAACCAAGACCATAAATCACCGTTCCATCCGTTCCATGTTTGAACGGGGACATGGGCTAGTTTCCTGATATCTGAGGTCAGTTGAAGAACTACTTCACCTACATCATCTATTTCTAAACAACAATTAGAAACATTTAATTTCCCACATACTCCTCCCTCTTCAGCTAGTAAATAATCCAAAACCATACGGTGTTGAAGGATTGCAGCATGCATCTGTTGAGATTGTTGGGTTAAAAGGTCTATAGCATTAGCAGTTTTGTTGGTAATAATTTCTAAAACTGCTTGCAATCGAATTATGTGGTTCAAATTATAAATCGGTTCTCGTGCCCCTGATATTGGTTCACTGGGATTCCAAGTGGCAGGCCCATAATGCTCAGTTATTCTTTCAGGGGGCCACTCATCTTCCCCCCACCTTTGTGTTCCTCCTATTTTAACGTCAACATCTCGCTCGCTACGTGCAATCCTTTTGTCCCCTAAATTATCATATAGTCTTACTCCCAATCGAGGACCACCCGCCTCTGGAAGAAGGAAAAACAGAGGTCGGATAATCGCTATATAACAAATCCCTGACCAATTTGCTGGTAGTTGTTTGTAGGCAGTATGTCCACAAATCCAATAATGGCCTTTTTTGGCTTTGGCACCATTAGCAAATGGTCCAGCTGCAGCCCTTGGCAATTGGAAATAAGTCGTGTTCTCATTTCCCAAAGGGCTAAAAAAGGTCCTTGGCCTGTTGTTGTTTGTCTGGCCGGTACAATACCAGGCACCAGTATGGTTCTTCCACTTACAAATTTGATGATAAACGTGGCTTCTAGACCATCGGAAAGAGAAGGTTTCATTTTTGTTCGACCAAAACCCTTTGAATGCTTTACTGCGTCCGGTTTCGTCCAGCCACATCCATATGTAAACCCCTGCCTCTTTATTAACCAATCGATGTGTGAGTGTCCTTTGACACCTGCTTTCTCTGACATTGACCCCTCCCTTCCGGGTGCGATTTAAACAATATCTACCCACAGTAGGAAATTGAATTGGCCATGTTTCGCCATCGTCCCAGGTGGTACTGTCAGTTTCACTGTAATTGCTTACAAGTTGTGCTGGAGTGAGGGACGTGGAGGTCCATGGCCAACTTGACAACCCTAAAGGTCCTTCACAAACCCAACAATGACTCAGATTAAAGGCTTGGCTTACAGCTTTTGCTAACAGGACAAATTCATTGTCCTTAAAGGGATCATATGGGATAAGAGGAGGTGGGGGAATTGGTTTCCCTTCACCCTCACAGATAAATCCCCAACATAACATAATTACGAATAACATCGTGTCTGCTCCTCTTCTTCTGTGGGTACATCTGTGTTGCTTGCTTCTCCCTGGAAGTGAAACAAAAACAAATTTGCTTCTCGGGTTAGAAAGAAGGGACAATCAATCTAGTATGAATCTTATTAATTTTTCCACAGGCATCTTTGGCCTTCCAGGTATATTTGTTAAGGGGTGTGTCCAACACCAGAGGCACGGTGCCCACTGTGGGAAGTTCGACCAGGACAGGTTGTCCTGGGAAATGAGATGGGTTGCTGGGGTGGTCAGGACCATGCGGGGCTGGCATGATTGTTGGAGCTTTTGGGCAGAATGCTGTTATCTTTGGACATCCATTTACTCCCCAGCAACTATTAACACTGGTCACTGCATCCCACACTCTCTCAGTCCATCGTGGCTTGTGCGGTTTGAGAAAGCGTTTTAGCAGACCATTTGTTCTTTCCACAATTCCATTTGCTTGTGGGTAATACGGAGTATGGAACACCCACGAAATTCCCTCCTGGGCTGCCCATTCCTGGACTACTTTGCCTGTGAAATGTGAGCTGTTATCTGATTGGATTGACTGTGGTTTGGGGAAAATTCCAAACCATTCTTTTAGAGCTTTTATTGTGCTTTCTCCTGTTGCCTTAGCACACGCTTTAGCTTGCACTAGTCCAGATACTATCTCCACACCTACCAGTATGTAGTATTTTCCCTCTGACCTCCGAAAGGGACCGATATAATCAATCTGCCAAGCCTCCCATAGGCCTTTTCCCTCTCTCAAATGCAGGGGGTCACCCTCCAGCGGGTGTCTGTCCAAACGGACGCGGCATTGTTCGCAGGAAGACACACAAGTTTTACATTCTTCCCTGGTAACTGGCCACCCTCGGGCTTGTGCTTCACAATAGAGGTCTTTAGCTCCTGAATGTTTCCGTTTTACATGTAGCCATTCTAACAGGCGTTCCCAATTTTCCACTATCTGGGTGCTTTGTAGGAGAGCTAGCCGGGCTAGCTCATCCACTTTAGCATTCCATTGGCTCACCGGGGCATCATCTGGTTGGTGAGATGCTACCCATGCTACTGCAAATTTCCCTTGTCTGGCAATGGTGAGAATATCTTGCCATTTTTCCTTTTGCCATACAGGTATCCTATTGACCTCCCACCCGTTTTGTTCCCAGAATGGAAGCCACTCAGTGCAGCCTTTAAACACAGCATAAGAGTCAGTATAGATATAGACAGAAGAAGCAGATTGAGCCTCGTGCTGGAAGACGCTCCACACAGCAATTAGTTCTCCTACTTGTGCACTACCTATTCCTTCGGTAATGATCTGTTCCTTGGTATCTACTCAACGTGCCACAGCTCGGTATTTCCAGACTTTTCCCTCTCGCTTTGACGAGGCATCCGTGAACCAGACATTTTGCAATTGTCCAGAAAACGGAGGAGCTAATTCTATTACAGGCAAAAGCTCGGAGGTGTCTCTATCTGGGTTTACCTCATCTTGTATATTTAACACTTTTGCGGCTCCTTCTGATACAGAAAAGATTTCACAGTAGTGTTCTATTTGTGCATACCACTTTCGCACAGAGGCTCTCTGGGCCACCCCGTCAGGGGGTGGAGTTCCTGCCAAAACTGCTTTGATCACTTTAAATGGACCTCTGAGCACTATAGATTGTTGCCGGATGGTCCGTTCGGCTTCTCTCAGAGCTAAACTAACTACAAATAGACCCTTTTCCCAAGTCGTATACCTTTTTTCAGCATCTTTAAAGCTACGAGAATAAAACCCAATGGGCCGAACAGGCCCCTCTGGACCCTTTTGCCACAAATGGATTGACAGTCCAGTCTTGGCAAATCCCCACTCCATTTGAACTGGGTCTCTTGGGTGAATGGGACCAAGAGCCTGATAGGCATTCGCTTCAAGCACCAACAACTGTAAAGCCTCATCATGGACCTGAGTCCATTCCCACTGAGCTCTCTTGTAACAAGTCATACAGGGGTCTAGCAATAATTGAGAAATCAGGAATGTGTTTCCTCCAGAATATGACCAACCCTAGTGCATGCTGTAAGTCTTTCTTTGACTCTGGCATCTTAATCTGCTCCAGAGAGGAAAGGGTATCCGGTGGGATACACGTCATGCCTCCCTTCCACCAGATTCCTAAGAATTTTACCTCACTCGAAGGAGTCTGGATCTTCTCAGGTGGAATTGTGAACCCTATACTTTCCAAATGGGTGATGATGGCATTCTGGGTTTCTCTAACTTCTTCTATCTGCCTTTCTCCTATGAGCACATCATCTATATATTGATAGATCTTTACCTCTGCTTTTATGAGAATTGTTTCCAACTCTTGTGCTAGAGCATGGTGAGCCAGCGTGGGGGAGTGCTTGTATCCTTGGGGCAGTCGTGTAAAGGTGTACTGTTGTCCTTCCCAGGTGAAAGCAAAGCGATCCCGGTCCTCAGGTTGTAAAGGGACCATAAAAAACATATCCTTGACATCAATCGTTGCCATGACAGGGTGGGATTGTTCCTGAATGGCAGCTATCAATTCAGCAATGTTTGGTACAGCAGCTGTTAGTGGACCTGTGTTGGCATTGAGCCTCCTGTAATCTATTGTCAATCTCCATTTGCCGTTTGGTTTTCGGACTGGCCATGCTGCAGAGTTGAAGGGGGAGTGAGTGGGAACTACAACCCCTTGTTTCTTTAAACCCTCCAGAACTGGCATCATTCCTTCTCTTGCTCCTAGAGGCACTGGGTAGGGTTTAACATTTGTCAATTTGGAAGGGGGGAGGCTAAGTGCTGCTTGCAATAGACGCACCTCTGTGCCGGATGTTTTGGCCAATTGCCTAATCTGAGGGACACCAAAAGACCATGAGTTTCCCTGGGTGTCACGCCACTGTCTACCCTTCAAACCATCTATACCTAAAAGGTTCATCTGGAAAGAACCTACAGCCACCATGGTATTAAGAGGATTTTCCTCCCCTGGCAACCATAGTGTTGCCGGAATCATGGGCACTGATTGTGTTTTTCCAAAGGCATTTAAGACAATCAGATTTCTAGATGGAATCGAGATTCCACATTGTTCTGCTTCAGTCCGCCTCAGCACAGTAATTTGTGCCCCGGTATCAATTAAAAAGGTCACCGGTCTTTTCCTTGGTCCTACAGCAACAGTAATCAGTAAATCCCCTTTTGTATTGCAGGTGAGTTGTCTAACAAACATCCACCCTCCGCCTCCCCCCTCACCTTCAGGGGGCGGAGGATCTAGTTTCCCGCCACCTTCTCCTCCTTAGTTGGCTCATCCTCAAGGTTTATCGAGGGTGGGGCACTAGGGTTTGGTTTGGAAACGGCCTTTCGCCCTGACCAATTCTGCACAAGCACCTCCAATCTTTGGTTCGAGAGCCTATCCATCAAGTCCCGGGGAATGCCTTTCTGAAGCCCTAGCTGCCACAGTCCCTGTCAACTTAGGGATTTCTCTCTTCCAGAGGCTAATTGCCGCCCACTAAGTCATCGTATGATCCTGTTTTCAGTTCTTTGAGACAATCCCCCAACCGGGCCATATAATCAATTCCTGAGCTATCTCTCCCCATGTCCTTACTTTTCTCCCTGACTGCTGATGATCAGGGGACACTTTCCCCTCCAGAGTGGCCATAATTCTTTCTCCATTGGGGGTGTTTTGAATCCTCCCTTGCAATTGAATCCCAATGGGTTTCAAAGAGTCGTGAAGTCCCCGTATCAGAGGAGTCATCCTCTCTGGGTCCACAGGCATCATCATCGGGGAGCCCTGGTGGGGCTTGAGCTCCCGATCATACATCATCTGGAGACATGCCGCCTTTTGCACACTTTCCACTAACTGATCCACCGTACCAGTTATGGTAAGGGGATCTCCCCTCTCCAAGGGGTTCAGCCCTCCAGCCCAATACGCAGCTCTCTGAGTCAATGACCATGGGGCTCGGCGATCGCCAGTAGTTAGAAACACACCCGGACCCCGATATCCTTCTGCTTCTTTCTCTGACAACAAAATTCCATCCCCTCCTGACAAAGACACTCTCCACACATACTCTGTCTCCGATTCCTTTGCAGCCCTTGCAAAATCTTTTTTCAGCTTTGCTAATTCAGTTGCTGTAAGTGGGACTTCTTTAGTGATAACCTGAGGACGGTCATCGCTATCATTCTCATACACATACTCTGTTTTAATCAGTGGATACATATGTGGGAGGCTTTCTACGGTTTCTTTTGCCCTCTGCAAATCTCCTTGGGGGTAGATTTGCTGTATCCCTTTCTCCTCAAGTGTCACTTCTACCTCTGCCTGTGTATCCGCCTCTCTCAAAAGTTGATTCCTCAATTCCTCCTTTAATATCACATTTTGGTTCCTTTCCTCCTCCAACAATTGTTAACTTTCTTTCAATTGTTCCTGCAAATTTTTGATTACCATCTGCAGGGAGTCTATTACATTATCAGTTTGAGAAGACTTCTGCTTTCTCTCTTCCACCGCAGCTGCCAGACTGGCTCCCAACACCGCACAAATTATAGCTTTTCCTTTCCCTTTCTTAATCTTAGCTTCCTTCTGCAAGATTCTTATCCTATCCACCACACTTTGTGGTTGAAACCAGTGGGTTTTTGGCCAATCTTGTCCCTGGAGTGAGGGGCGAGATCGGTGTGCCTCTAAAAGATCATAAAATTTATCTATTCCTTTGACCCGTGAGGGCACAAAATCACAAACATCAACAGTTTTCTGAACATCCATCTTCCTTAACCCAAAGGGGGCTGTGACCTGAGAGGATCACAACTTAACAACAAATTCCCCCTATTCGCTCTCAGAAGGGCACACTTTAAAGTTACAGACCAACACAAAGGAGGGGGTTGCTTTCTGAGAGGGTCCCACAGTAGTACCAAATTCCCCCTTTTCACTCTCAGAAGGACACACTTCAAAGTTACACACTAACTCAAAGGAGGGGGTTACGTCCTGAGAGGGCCACACATGAGTATCCAAGTTCCCCCTATTCGCTCTCAGGAGCCAGACTGCACATTAACACAGAAGTTCCACGACAAATTAGTACAGCACTCTCATCTCTGGGGATCCTGTCCGTGACGCCAATTAAAATGTCCCGATCCAATATCGGGGAGGGTTGTTAAATGATCCTGAGAGCGAAATGAAGACACAAACGAGGTCAGATGCCGTACAACCTTACAAGTTTTATTTCCTATAACAACTGATAATAGCGACAGGACAGAGGGAAGGAGAAAGGAAAAAGAGGCAGGCCTAAGCAAGAAAACAGAAGAGATGCAGCAAGACTAGTTACCACCACCACGAAGCCAGCAACATCCCTTTGGCTCGGTCTTGGTGCAGGTGATGGAGGTCCAAGTTCCAGGTTCCAGCAGACAGACGATGACCAAAGTCCCAGTTCCAAGCACTGATTTCAATCCCTTTTCAATCACTTTTCAATCCCTACTCAATCCCTTTCAGTTCCTTTCAGTTCCTTTTCAGTTCTTTCCAGTTCCCTTTTTCGAGAGAGGAGTACGCAGTTCTTTTATTGTCCCGGTCCCCACGATTTCTCCAAAGACTCCACCCATTTCCACGGAGCTCATTATCATACATGCCGCCCCGTGTTCCTCCATGGGCGCATGCCCAGGTGTTCACGGTGGTATTTGGTTTTCTTCACCTTGCTCGTGGGCAAGCACGGCTTGGTAGGCACTGCTAGCTTCAGGCGGATATGGTGGTTTCTTCAGGGACATTTTGTCTCCTTCAGCGCGTACTCCCCCACAGCAACAGGATGTTGAGGCTAGCAAATGGTAACTGTGCAGCAGCAATGTCGAGACAAACATAGTCCAACACAGTCTCTTACAAATGGGGATGGCAAAGAGTGCAAGGACTAGGAGAAAGAGGCAGACTCTGCATTTGCTGGAGCACATACCCTCAGGAACCAAGCCTGGGCCTGCATCCTTTGCCCTCAGCAAGCCACGTCCAGCCAGTGGGGCAGACCTGTATGAGAGCATCCAGAGCCACTGCGTGATGATCCACTATAGTGTTACCTTATTGAATTATATCCCCTTCTGGGAATCATTAAAAAACTAAGACGAATTTTCAGCTTTTCAATTTGACTTTTAATTTACACTCTATTACTTAGTAAGGAACTGCATTCACAACCTAATTAATTATTTTATTAGGACTGTTCTATTCTACTCTTAGCTTTCAGCTATGATTGCAATGTGTCCTGTATCAGTCACCTGCTTGCTGCTCCTCCAACAAGCCTCCTCCTACAAAGAGTTACAGAAAAAGAGTGGAAAGTAACAGCTTGTGACAGTGTAATTACTGGGAGAAGGCAGTGTCGTGGTTATAGAGACACATTCCAGATAGAGATCAATGGATAATGAAAAAGCTGGATTTTATAGCAGCTAGAAGAATACAGAGAATGCATATTAGAACAGAATAAAATTAATGGGTTCTTCTAAAAATTGTGAAACAGATTTATTCCTTTTTATAATTTGAATTAAAAAAAATTATGCAATGTATTTGTTGTGGTTTAACCCCAGCTGGCAACTATGCACCACCCAGACGCTCGCTGACTCCCCCACGGTGGGATGGGGTAGAGAATCAGAAGGGTCAAAGGGAGAAAACTCAGGGGTTGAGATAAAGACAGTTTAATTGGTAAAGCAAAAGTCGTGCATGCAAGCAAAGCAAAACAAGGAATTCATTCAGTACTTCCCATCAGCAGGCAGGTGTTCAGCCATCTCCAGGAAAGCAGGGCTCCATCACGTGTAACGGTTACTTGGGAAGACAAATGCCATCACTCTGAATGTCCTCCCCCACCTTCCTCCTTCTTCCCCCAGCTTTATATGCTGAGAATGACATCATATGGTCTGGAATATCCCTTTGGTCAGTTGGGGTCAGCTGTCCCAGCTGTGTCCCCTCCCAACTTCTTGTGCACCCCCAGCCTACTCGCTGGTGGGGGTGGGGTGAGAAGCAGAAAAGGCCTTGGCTCTGTGTAAGCACTCCTCAGCAATAATGAAAACATCCCTGTGTTATCAACACTGTTTCCAGGACAAATCCCAAACGTAACCCCATACTAGCTACTATGAAGAAAATTAACTCTATCCCAGCCAAAACCAGCACAGAAGGCTAAGAAAACCAGGATTTGTCAGAAATCAAAGTGGAATAAAGGCAAATATCCAAAAAGCTTTTTGCTGTGGTTAAGAAAGAAAAAAATAAAATAATGAATTTTGGAGAGGTACTGAAGCTTGAAGATGCTTTGAAAAGTACAGATAACATTCAGTTCAACAAAATCTGAACTTTATTCAGTATGCTTAGCTAGTTTGCTAGGTTGGAGAAATGGTAATGGTAAGTAGAGGAAGCTACCAGAAATCAACAGAGGGATAGGGGAAAAGATAAACAAACAAAAAATCATAATCAAATCAACTAGAAAACATTACCTATTTTCATTTCCATGAATCACATGTTATGTTCCTGGAAACATCCAATATACTTGGAAGGCTTATATTTCTAGCACTATTGGTCACAGCATGAAAACAAAACACCCCAAACAAAAGTGGATCTGAACTACCATTATAGTCAGAATGAATCACTTCAGAATAAATGATTAGCATTAAACTTAAGAGGGACAGAGCTTTTCATGATTCTAGATGGGGTATATGGAGGGATGGGAGGCAGAGGGCACCGAACTTGATCACCTGAATACTAATTATTTGCAGGTTTAGACAAAGATGATTTACAGATTCATCTTCTGAAAATGCAGACCCTAAGTACAGATTTCCAATAAAATTGATTATGAGTTATTTCTTGGATATGCTATTTCTACACCATCATGTAACTGATGTTACAAAAAAATGTAAGAGTGTCCTATTTCACTTTCTGTAGAATTCAGGAATTTTGCAAGAAATTAATACTCTTCTAAATTTTTGAGTGAATTCATGCTTAAAGGCATTTCTCATCTTTTCAAATGTCAGTGTCCTAGTCTAAATAAAAGTACAGTGCTAAGCTTCCACTTAAAGAGTGCAAAATGCATTGAAGGATAATAATATCCATAGGCAACATGTGTATGCATATGCAGAAATCCACTAAAGATTATGCCAAAGCATTACAGTACTACTAAGCACAAACACTGCATATATTGAGAAATTTGTCAAATCAGTCTGAAAACCACATTTCACTGTTTTCCTACAGTTCACAGGTATATGTAATTATTTAATATACATTACTCTTTCAGTAAACAGAAAAACAAATAAAAAAAACTCAGAAACAGTCATGAAAAAAAGTAAAACCACAAAAGATACTGATATTTTCAGGTAGAACACTTTTTTTTTCCCAATTCAGTCTTATAAATTATTACTTTTCTTAGTTATTTTTTAAAAAGTAACTTTTTCATTTGGATAATGATAATTTAGAAACTTCTTTCACCATTTTTGAGATAGGAAATTAGCTGAAATTGATTCCTCCCCATGAAGAGTTTCAATGAATCAGAAAATTCCAGTAAGAACTATTAATTCCTTATCAGCTCTCCTGCAAAACATTAACAGTAATTTTCCCACTTTCTATTAAACTATTGATTCCCCTGCATTGAAAGGTTGGTAATGACCACTATAATTATGAAGAAAGAATATCCTAGTTTTTTTGCCAGAAGGAAACATGAGAATGGGCTTTCAGAGAATAAACTGGCTTCTGTACAAATAATCACTATATTTGTATGTATTCAGAATAATAAATATCTGAAGGTATAACTAATGATGTTTAGATTGCAAGAATAGGCCAACTTTTAATTAAACATTACAAACTGTATGTATAATTTTCATTATCTTACTCATTTGAAGATAATTATGCATTCACATACTACACAGGAACTGAAAGGAAGTATCTTATATTTGTTCAGTTGGTATGACTGAAGGATATTTTGGGGGAATTTTAAATTTCTTTGGGACAGCAGGATACAATGCACTATATCATGGATACAAAAAGACAAATGAACATCAACAGCTCAGTTAGATGACCCTCCCGCTCTGAATTAGTAACATAGACACCAATGTCATTAACACTTATGGCCAAGACCCAGTTCTGAGTGGTAATCAGTGGAAAACCAATAGACATTGATCTTGGCTAAGAACCAGCCAGGGTGAATAGGTTTCTGCAATAGGAAGCTTTAAGACTTAAAAAAAGACACTTACAAATTAAGATTAATCTGGTCTCCCTCCAATTAAACCAATAGGATTCTGACCTATAGCAAAGGGAATTAGCATAATCTAAAATCCAGCATAGGATACAGATCATACCTGGGGACAAAACCCAAAACAAAACATAGCTTCACCAAAAGCATATCTTGCCACTCAAATTTAGTCCTTTTACTGATTGCCAAAGTCAAATCCTTGTTTGTGCATTTTCGCCTTAATAAAATATGTTCTTAAATCAGAAGATACAGAAATAAAAAAATGGTATCCATCAGCTTCAGTACCTTTGAGTAAGACCTATGCACAATGCATTCTCATTTTGTTATTTCACAACATTTCCAGTGGAATACAGGGTTGTGGGTTTTTTTTCTTTTTCAGAAAAAGAAAGAATACTATTGTGAAGAGAAGACATGAGAGAAAGACAATGACTACAATATACTGTCAAAGGTTTTTTACTGTTGCTGAACAAAAATGTTACAATTGTGGGACTTAGTAAACAGAATCTCAGGTACTAAGAGGTAGTACATATTCTTTTTGATGGAGATATTTTATGCATTTTTATACTCTGTG